TTTCAGTAGCAATGTCAGATTTACCCATTGTGCCTACATACTCAAAAGTAACCTCCCTGATTGGTACGGTTGCTTAGAACCACTGTTCTAGAGGGAAAGGCCGAGCACCTGACCAGTGATCTATTGCAGCGTGGATCAACCTACAAGTTTTGAACCTGTGTGGATATTTGCATTAATAGAATTGGTACTCTAAGTATTGTTAAAAACATGTTGCAGTCTTTTTTGCTTATAGACCAAGAAACAAAGGCCCGAAGTCTCAAAATTTCTGTCACTTCGAACTTTTGATATATATGTTTTCTAGTGCACTGATTACGAAACAAGTGGTTTAAAAATTCTTTGTATCGTAGTTCACTGCAAAGAACGCATTTTCATGTGAATTTATTAGAAAAATATCGATATTTCGAAAACGGCAATGCATATCTAAGAACGGCTTGCACCAATCAAAAGAGCGGAAAAAAATGCACTAAGTAGCACTAGTAGTTTTATTTTGACTTGCGTAAAATTTAGAGAGAAATGGCTGAGAAGATGATATTGCAAAATTGACGCTTTACCAGACTTGAAGTATGCGTATCTATCTATACATACATGATGCCAATACTTGTGCAATATTCTTCTCAGCTGTTTCTCTCAACATCTTACGCTCGTCAAAATAAAACTACTTGTGCTACCTTATGCATTTTTTTTCGCTTTTCTGATTGGTGCAAATTGTTTTCCGATACACATTACTGTTTTGGAAATATAGGGGTTTTTCTAAAAAACTTGTATGAAAATGCGTTTTTTGCAATAAACTACAATATTTAAAATTTTTTTACCATTTTTCCTGTGATCAGCGCACTCGAAAACACAACATCAAAAATTCGAGGGGAAAGAAATTTTCGGACTTCGGGCTTTTGTTTCTTGGTCTATTAAAGCCATTTATTAAATAAACCTTTACTTTTATCAACACGTTGATTTCGGTAGTACAGATATTACGTCTATCTCGTTATCTAATACAGTTTATATATCCCACTGCAGTAGACACTGGTTGGCCCTTCCCTCCGGTCCACGTGACGCTGCAGCCTACAGCTATATGCTCTTTTAGCGGAAATTTTACCGTTGCCTTACAGTAAAAATTATAGTAAACTTTGGATAAATTTTGTAGTTATCATAAAAATTACCATAAACTACAATAAAAATTTATGTACTACTGTGGTAAGAATTTACGTTATGACAAATTATCACAGGATTACCACGTTGCTGTTACGGTAAAGGTTCGTGTGATTCTTTTTTGCGTGTGCATGTACTATGGCTCAAGAAAGTATTTAAGCAGAACGATTGATTAAGGTAGCTTCCTTGTCCACTGATCTAGTCAAGTAGGAGAGTTTCACTTGTGTATGTATACGTATATACGTACATTAGTGTTGGTATTCTGCTACCGTCTCTCATTTATAACCATGAAACTTATTTTTATGTCTTTCTTAGAAAATATCTTTCAAAAACGCCCCACTACCAGCATTTTACATGACAGGATTGAGAAGAACATAGATTTTTATACATGTACATCATAATTTGTCTGCTGAGGTTTTTTGTTGTGAGTTGGGAGATGCGTATAAAGCTGATGTTTTGATGCTCAACCACATAAGCTTGTGTGAAAGGTACAACTTTGAGCTAAAATATCTCGAGATTTTGCCCCACTTGGGGTATAAACAAGGACACCGTTGGATTCAGTGGATCAAAATCTATTAACTGAAACATATTTTATTTCGTAGTTTTTCGCAACGAAGCTACCTTAAAGACATAATTTATGACCCTAAAATCCTACGTTGTACGTCGATAACCAAATAATAAAAAATAATTTCAGTACAAATAATATAAGTCTGGCGTAACCATTGTCACTCGAAATATATCGATATAACATTTTAGTTTATTATTCAAGAAAATTGTATTTATTGATTATTTATAATAAAGAACGTATGCGCTAATGATCAAAAAGTAGGTATTTTTAGTAAGGCATTACCAGTAAAATTATTAAATTATTTGAATATTTAAGAAGTTTAATTGGCCTTAATTTTAAATGATTAACATGTTTTTGTAATTTTTATGCACCTTACGATTTTATAATTTTATAAATTAATAAAAACAAACTGCGTGCACGTTTCTAATTGGGTATATTGTACAGTAAAAAGCGAGGTAAAAAGGATTGAAAGTGCTGTATGTGTGCATGCATATATATGTGTGGAGGCTTTTTGGCCTGCGTGTGCACCCTCCTTAAGGACGGACATAAGGATGCTAAACGTGAAAACTATGAAAATTTTAATAACTATGAACACCATTGTAGTCAGTAATACAAAACTTGGGAACAATAAGTTACATCAGTATTTATGATGATAAAATCAACACGCCTCCAGAAGTAGCATGATCTTGTTTGCATAGTGTGTCGAAGCAGAAACAACTAAGTAAGTTTGTAACAGGACCCAAGTGTGACGTGAGTTACTATAAATGATGTTACTGTCAAGTTACGTGATCATGTTACTCACATTATTTTATTCGCTGCAAGTTAACCGTTAAACTATAAACTTCGACTTAGTGATTAAAGTAATTGCGAAGAATAACCTCATAATAAATTTAATTACGTTTACGTTTAATAATTAAACATTGATAAAGCACTGAAAATTGTGTTATCAACAGTGCATTCTGCTAAGAAAGTCCTTAAATTACGCACTTTATTCTCACCATGGACTCTTCGATTGATTTCTGTTATCCCACCAACTACTTGTAAGAAGCGAGATCATCTAATATCAGATGTTATTGCCAGCTGTCACATACCTCAGCTTATTGTGTTTATTTAATTGAACTTGATAGCACAATAATTTGATTTTGACTCAGACTGCATTATTAGGCTTTTTTAAAGATTACGCACAATTACACGTCTACCTCACATGAAACAATTTTTTTTATGAAATATATTTAGCCCTAGATGTAACTGTATAACAAATGAACTTTTTAACAGGTATTTATAATCTAAAAAATTTGATATACAACTAAAATGTAAGAAAATTTTTTGTGTAGTAAAGAGCATTGCTGATTAGCACGACAAAGTCTAAGTCAATATGTATATGTCCAGTACAAAATAAAACTTATTTCGAATGAAAATCAGCTTATGTAGTATGAAATAACTCATTTTAAAGATTATTCATTATTGATAATAATTAAGCACTGGATCCAGTTATATTCATTTTATTCTATAGTCATATTTGTGGGACTTGGCACAATAAGAAACTCAATGTTGCTACCATGCTATTAACAGTTCATTTAAACAAACTTTTTGGAAAGAACTTACACAAATGGATTTTGAAGTCTGAAAAAAATATCTAAAAATTTTTTGTAGTATCCAGAGCATTTAAAAACATTTTAAGTATTTTAAGAATTGTGCTCTAACTTTTTTATGAGATGCATCGTTTTTTAATGCGAAAATTCCTAAAACTAAAGAAATCCTTTTTTTTCAGAGTTATGAACTCGTATCAAAAACAAAAAAAAGAACATTTTCCACAGCACTCCATCACGTAAACATAAACTTTTGGCCTTCCATTGGTTTCTATATAAAAGAACATTAGAAAACAGTCGTGTGTCGACGTGTCATAATTAGTTACAGTAAACTTCCAGGGCATTTAGGCAGACGTATATGCTCTTAAGCATTTTTTACTAATTTGTTAAAAAAGTATTTTCTGAAATGAATTGGGACGAGTTTGTGCAGTGGCAGTATGAAGATGTATATTCAGTACTACACTTAGAAAAGTAGTGTTAAAAAAATTGTTATAACTGTACTACAAATTACTATGTTTTTATGAAAGCTGTGCTATACTTACCCAATGACGCAAAATTACTACGTTTAAAATAATTTTAATGATATTTTAAGTAATTTTTATCATGCAGTAGCCCTACAAAAGTTATTTTACGACATAACAAAAATTCCTATGTCTAACACAGTAAAAATTGTGACAGTACAATTTTTGCTACACGATATAGTAAATTACATTGTAATCGTTTTAAAATTCTAAAGTGGAATTTGCTATGTGACAGTAAAATTTCTCATTCCACTGCATTTCTATTCAGTATAGTAAAAATTGCTATGTTTGGAAGTAATTTCGTACGATGAATATATATGTATATGTATATACGCCTACTGAGTTTCAAATTTGAGGCTATACGAATGTCAATATTAAGAGAAACATTTAATTTAATTTATCGGGGTTAAAAATTGATACGTGCTGACAGCTAATTTTGAATTGACTAACTATCCGTTGTTAATACCGTGGTCCACAGGAAACCCTATGGTTTTTAACTTTATTGTGTGTATGATAAACAGTACACGTTCCCACATGTACTTTATTCACACTCGCGCGGACATCATGTCCCGTGGTCTAGTGGTTGTGGAGCCTGACTTGGAAGCTCAAAGATGAAGGTTCATATCCCAGTCGCTGCATATCTTTTTTAAAATAAAAATATTATAAGATATATCAATATCTATGTACAATGAGAAGAACATATCTTCATACATTTGAATCTATATATATTAATCTTGCGATAAACATGTATATTCACTGGGAATTATATATATAGTTTTTCTTTTTCTTCTCTTACTTGAATATAAAAATTCTTTTTCTATGTCGACGTAGCAAATTTTAATATTTTAATATTTAAATCTAGTTTTAGCATGTAGCATAGTAATTTTTATAATATGGCGAGTATGTCTTAGCTTTTTTATAAAATATAGTGATTTTTAAAATAGTTGTAACACTTTTTCTAACACCACTTTTCTCAGTGTATTTAGTAAAAATGATTGTATTAAAAACTTAATACCAATTTCCCTACAGCTCGTAAGTATATAAGTACCACTCATCGGAAGAAAATTCCCTGCAGGCCTGATGTCTTGACTCTCTTCATCTATTCTTTACTTACGTTAGCATGCTACATTTAGTGTAACTCTACCACTTTCTAAGTCTATCTTTCTTCGTCTCCCTTCCATACACCTTCTTCAGGCAAATGTCAACTGAATTAACTGCATTGCCACTGCTATACTGCTAACGTTATTCGCTTTCAAATACCTATCGTCAGGAACAGAGTGAGAACTTTCATTTTGCTCTTTTATTTTCTAATAATTCTTTTTTTTCGAACTGTATTTTCAATACGTGCTTATGATTCCATTACAGTTGATCCAGAACAAGTATGAGCGAATGAAATGGTGACCGTAGAAGAGTTTAGATAGTAATCTGGTAAGGAAGTTCGATAAGAAAAGTGAAACAGCAGGCAAGAAAGAAAGAGAAAGAGAAAGTTAGTCCAGGATGCGGGATATAAGAGTAATATGGCGACCAGCTGTTGGAGACTCACTGTTAATACTAATGTTATCCAGTCGACGATGTCGAAACCATAGCCACTTTACAGTGCTCTACATTCTGCTAGTCATTTTTCGTCTGCTTGCAGTGTTTCAAAATGCAGGTAAGGGAGTTGGTTTTTTTGTTCATCTCAATAACTTATAGTATAACAAACATACCTTTTTTTATCTGCAACTTTTTTTTAGTTATTTTATGGTTAATGAAATACATAATTCACTCTGTACATGTACTAAATTAAGTGACATTTTTGTTTTGTCATGTGGATACTTATATTTTAATATCAAGAATACGAGAGATTTGATAAATTTTGATATCAGCAAAAGAGTAATGCATAAATTTACAATTTGCTTAATGTAAAGCAATATCAAACTTTTAATTTTATAATTTTTCTATTGTCTATAAAGAAAACTCAATTAAATGCAAGGAGAAATATAATGGTGACTTAAACTATCTCTTTCAGCAACAACTAAGTAAAGTGCTGGAACAACATCCATGTACAATATTTGAATTTACATCTTTTTTTTTTTTTTTTTTTTTCTTCATGTTAATGTTTACGATAACTGGAAAAATCTAAAAGCGTATTAACCAAGAAATAAATTAGTGTTAATGGTCAAAGCTGAAGAAAATGAAGAATACAAGGGAAAGTATCTAGGAAAGCTGAACGTTTATCATCACCAGGTTGCCGGTGATGTTTACGCGGTGGACCGATATGCGTTACTTCTAAAATCATTTAGCTACGATGGATATGGGGCAGACACATTTTTTTGGGCTGGAGCTTCAAATCGTCCTGGACCACAGGGTTTTATTGTACCTGATGAGTATGGAAAGTACGTATGATCAATGCATAAAGTTAAAAATTAGATATTCTTAATTCGCAAAACAAAAAATACTAAACGTACTTACTTTTTACTTATATTAATAATCATTATACAATAAGACAAATATTCTTTAGTGGCTTGTAGTTATACGTAAGTAATTAAATATCAAGCATAGCAAAAGGTAAAATGCCTGTGTTTTTTAATTCACATGCAGTCTCTAAGTTTGAATGAAAAAATTTTTTTAAGTTACTATTAAATTTATGTAATTATGTAAATCTAATAACATTTTTTTTTATTCTGAAACTAATTTTAAAGGAGCAAACCTTTACTTTTTTACCGTAATTTTTAGAGAATAAAAAAGAAATTGTAGTAACGATGATGCTTATAATGAACCATTTGTTCTCAGTCTTTGCCTTATTTCTCTTTTTGTAGGAATTTTTGGCAAATCAACATTAGATCTGTTGTTCCGTAGAGATCACTAAGTGTAAGAAATTTTTTGATCATTGCGTTCAAGATTTAAAGTACATTTTTTACTCATTTTTTGAAACTGTAGCACATAGAAACTTAAAAATTATGTGTAAAAGATATCAGTATTAACCTTAGCCTGCATAACAAATTTTATCGAGAGCAGTTAAATATTTTCCACTTACTGAATAAACCCTAAGACTTATTTTATACAACGATAACAAAATTCGTCAACTTTCTCAGAGACAGATTTCAATGGTCATACCACACTTGAGAAATCATAAACGTATTTTAGTTTATTGTCCAGCTGAAATGAAAAAAAAAAAAAAGAAGAAAAGAAATTTATTCTAACAATATAATGATATCTCTTTGGTTCAACTTTGTATTGAGAGCTACTTTGCTATGAAGTCAAACATAAGTATTTTTAATTTTTTTATGTTAATTTATGCCGTTTGCCTCTTAGAAAAGCTGGTATTTTTTTACAAATTTTTTTCAAGAAAAAAGAGTATCAGCATGTACAGCAGTATACTTAAATTTTTTTTTCTTTTCTTATTTCCGTATAGAAGTATTAGAATTCGTACTGTAGTGAAATTAGAAAATATGGAAGTGTTATACTTGCAACTTGAATAAAAAGTACACTGCACGTGCATCATACAAAATGTTACAAAATTATAATTTTTAAAGTTAACTTGAGCGCATCTGCAAGCATCTGGTGGAGGAGATAAATAAGACATCAACTTTGGGTAAGGAGTTTTGGCTGAATTGAAATTAAAAAATGAAAAAATCTTGTTATGGATCTGGGATAGCTTGACGAGACAAGTGGAAACATGATTATTATCATGCTTTGTAACATCACTTGCACTAACAGCCAAGATTCACTGAATATTATTTAGAGTATCAGCATAAATACATACATACACACATGATCACGTACATACATAAATAAACAGACAGTAGATGTGCATACACACACACGCACACACACAAACACACACACTGTACACACAAATACATTCACCTTGTCAGTCGTACTACCTTAATTTAAACCATTTGATATTTCACATCAAAATAATCATCTTAGCCTCCGTGCACGCTGGAATCTTTTTTCTTGTGAAAAGTTTGTTACAAAACACCAGCTTTTAAGTAAGTAATGTTTTTGATGTACGGACGTCAAAAACTAGTAGAACTAAGAAATGATTATAATGAAGGAATACATTTTTTATTGTTGTTGATCCTCGTTAAACAATAGATTTCAATGATTTTATAATCTTTTTAGCGTGGTTTGTTTACGTAAGAATTAGTTTAAAAAAAACATGCTTTGAAAAAAATTTCGTTTGAAAATGCCCCTGAATTTAGCTACACATATATTTTATGTGCTCCATTTATTATATATATTATATCAATTATTAATCAGAAAACTTATTTCTGATAAAAAGAGGTAAAGGTTTCTTGATTGTTGAGTAAAACTTGTACAGCTTTTTACTCAGAACTAAATGTCTACAGAACAAATATAACGACTAAAAATTTCAAAAAAAAGTATGAACTTTTCTAGTTCGATGCGTCGTTTCATAATTTGTTTTCAAATTTTTAAATCCTAATAAAAAAAGTGAAATTGACATGTATTTCATTCTACTCAGCTCTTCACATAATATGTTAGTCAAACATAAGACTCCTAATTTATTGTTCATGAGACACAAAATAAGAATAGTGCAAGTAAATTTAAGAATCATGCAAAATTAAATGTGTCACACATTAACTTTTATTATTGTTTTATGAAAGTGAAAAGTTTTTCACACGAATGTTTATTTATTTCAATTCTTTTAATAGTACACATAGATTGAGCTCGTTTGTTTTTATACTTTGAGAGTTAGCAGAACCTCGTAAACAGCAAAATGTGGCTTCTTATTATGAGTAAAATCACTTCTTCTAAGATTTTTATCACCCTTCAGCTAACAAACAGCTGTTTTGTTACCATACAAAGTATTTATTTACACAGCTGTATTTTGTTCTCCTACAAACTTTTTTCAACAAAAGTACAAGGTTAGGTAAGCTTCTCATAATACAATATATTAGTTACGCGCAAACTATTCATTCTATCTGATAGTAATCAATAACAAGTTGGTTGTGATTAAATAGTTAAAATTATTGAGAAAACAAATTTAATAACTTATCTTAATTTAATTTAATTGTGCACTTTTCTTGTTTGCACTTATGTAGTCTATAAATAAAAACTATAACCATACCTAGGATATTGATAATACTATTTCTATACTTTAAAACTTATCACCATTTTTATAAAGAGATGATTAATGTCAGCACAAAAAATAATTCTCGTATTATTAGGTCAATAAGCTGAAATGTATCTTATTTAATTAGATAAGTGGTCACTTAACTCTAACACAAATATTATAGCTTCCATTTATACAATACAAAGTAAGTAGTATCATTGTGATACGCCAGCAAGATTTAAAAGACAACAACGGTGCCTGCGTATACTACTTACTACTTAGTTGGAATTTTTAATTTTTAATCGATGACAATAATTATTTAATATAGTATTTCATCTAAATTTTTCCAACGTAATAATAGTGTGTGTGCTTAGTAATGATTTTTAGCATAAAAATTGGTGACAAAATACTTAAAATATTATAAACAATATATTTAGTCTATGATAGTGCACATATACCTCTATCTTTTATTTCTTTCAGCGTTAGTGGCTACACTGAATATAGCCGCATATTAATAGATAGGATACGATGTATATGTATACAGAAAACTGCATCGATAGATCGATAGATCGATAAAGACATTAGTATGTTAAGGGGGCTCCAGTGAGAGGAGTTAAGAGATCGTAGGTAGTTTAACTGATAGATAACAACCTACTGAATCAAGCGGTGTCTTTATTTATCTCTTTAACCGTGGAAAATTTGGAGATATTTGCTCTCAAAGTTCGTACAATAGACACAACCTCTTATAGAGTAACAAAAATATCTTAATTTTCTAACCATGATGAAGAAGTTATTTATCAGGATAATAACTGTTACATAAAAAAAAATCTCAGCTTTCAGATGGTACGTTACAAAATATAGGTAACCCTGAAAAAATTTAAGATATTTCGTAAAGTATTCATCAAGTTCTTGTATTCCACTTGTATTAGCATACAGTTTTTACAGTTACACACATACATACATAATGGTGCTCGCACACATGCTTGCAGCAGTGATATCATCTAAAACAGTTTTGTTTGGGTTGGTACCAATGCTTGCTGAAGCCCCCTTAAATACCAGAGAAATTAACTTGTTAAAAAATGTAAGTAATTAATCCAAATTAACCGTTTGCCTTCGAATTTCACGACATATATTATCAGCTTATAGTATTGAGTGCGCATTTTGCCATGTACGTAGGATGTGCACAGAGCATTTTTCAAAACAAGTAAGAAATATTGTTATAAAATAGCAGATCGTTCAACTGAACCTTTTTTTACATGTTTAATTTGAAAAATTTTTAATTCAACATGTAACCTTGTGGAAAAATAACTTTGAAGTGGATTTATAGAATCTATATAAATCACTCATTTGTTTGTTTGAATGAAATATTACGATAACATAAATCTGTTAAGTAATCTGAGTCAAAAATCTGTTTTATTTTCAAATAGATCTATTGTTTTTATTTATTTTTTTTTTTTTTCATTAACATAAAAAAAGGAGCCAAGTGTGTATGTAAGTTCATCCTCATGAGAAAAATAATTTCTAGCGTTGCATCATATATTTGCGCTCCTCCCACCTCTATGAATTTTGTTCTTAGTTACGAATGAACAATTGTAAAACAAGAAAACGAAATGAAAATCAATTAATTTATTCATACAGTACGAAAATGTTTTTTTTTTTTCATTATAAAAGGTCTGAAAAAATGTGAAAAAATTGTATAAACAATAATCTATTCATTTTGAAAGTAACAAACTAATGATAAATGAATGAATGTTTCGAATTTAAAAAAAAATATGGACTAAAAAAATATATTTTATAAAATAACTGGATTATTTAATGTAAAATAAGACCAAATAAGTGAATCCACAATAAATGAGAATTTACATTGAAAATACGTAACAAACTGTAAGACAAAATGTAGTAATCGGTTTTCCTATGACGAGCTCGCTCAAAGAAAAATGAGTTGAGGGCTTGCCTAATATGCAACAGGACGGGGGGTTTGAATCTCTTCGATAAACTTTTTTTTTTTTTTTTTTTTTTTTTCTAAAAATTGGTTAAAAAAAAATAAGTAAAATTCAAAATATGTGGTGTGGTCAGATGATATTGTGTAGTGTGGTGATACGACGTTATATAGTGTAATACTGGAGACCGTAAGTACGTCAAGAGAAGCAGGATGAAGGGGGAGAATCAAAGCAAAATCGACTTCTGTTACACTTTTTCTTAAGGTCACCAATCTGAAATCATTGATTTACTCCATAGGGCAGAACGTGCCTATTCGCTTTGAGCGCAATTCAAAAATCGCGCCCCTACTAGGTCCTTTAAGAACGATTGGTCATG